ACTACTACTACTACTACTACTACTACTACTACTTCTACTACTACTACTACTACTACTACTACTACTACTACGACTACTACCACTACTACCGCTACTACCGGTACTACTGCTACTACCGCTGCTACTACTACTGCTACTACTACTACTACTACGACTACTACTACTACGACTACTACGACTACTACTACTACTACTACTGCTACTGCTACTGCTACTCTTACTGCTGCTACGACTGCTGCTACTACTACTACTACCATTATTACTACTACGACTACTACTCCTACTACTACTACTACTACTACTACTACTACTACTACTACCACTACTACTACTACTCTACGACTACTACTACTACTACTACTACTACTACTACTACTACTACTACTACTACTACTACTACTACTACGACACTACTACTACTACTACTACTACTACTACTACTACTACTACTACTACTACTACTACTACTACTACTACTACGACTACGACTACGACTACGACTACGACTACGACTACGACTACGACTACGACTACTACGACTACGACTACGCTACTGCTACTACTGCTGCTACTACTACTACTGCTACTACTACTACTACTACTACTACTACTACTACTACTACTACTACTACTACTACTACTACTACTACTACTACTACTACTACTACTACTACTACTACTACTACTACTACTACTACTACTACTACTACCACTACCACTACCACTACCACTACCACTACCACTACCACTACCACTACCACTACCACTACCACCACCACTACTACTACTTCTCCTCCTACTACTTATTCTCCTACACCTCCTCCTGCTCCTCCTCCTCCTTCTGTCCCCATCTAGCTGTGCCGTGCTACATGTCATGAGTCCGCCCTCCGTCGGCGGTGGCACTCAAGGCTATCACAGAGCAGCGACGCCATGGATCTCACACTCTGTCCAGCGGCAGCCACTGTCCGAGCTGGGCAGAGCACTAACAGAAGCTCGCAGCGAGGGCTTGTAGGCCATGTCACCCATTAGGCCACAAGACAGCTCTGCGAGAGAGATGGCCAAGGGCCAGGATCCTGCTTGCATCCCACTCCGCCTGGTCACTCTCATCGCCTACTGGGGGTGTCCTCGCTGACGTGCGCGTCGGTGATCTGCAGCATGTGCAGAGACGCTGCCGGGTAGCCCTGTGCGAGAATGCGGGGAGCCAACGACAACGGAGAAAGCTGACAGCGTCTCTGGATCCATATCCGGGCTGCTGTCAACAATCCTCCCTCTCCTCTTCCCTGTTGTCCCCCCTCTGCCGTAGCGTCCCCATCCACTTCTTAAGCGCGGAGGTGCCATGGACAAGAGGGCAGCCTGGATCGCCGTCAAGCTGCGATCTGTGGGCTTGTTCCTTGGGCCGCGGGGTCCACACGGTTGGGGTCAGAACGGCCCTCGCGCCAAACCGCACTGCCCTACGAGTCCTCCGCGCCCGCGCGCGCGTAAAAATTCACGTACAGGCAGCAGCGCCCAGTGCGCTTGTGCGGGCAGTGCTGGAGAGGCGGCGCCTCGAGCTTAAACAAATCGTGGGAGAGTGCGTGCCGCAGCTCGCCCTTGCACACAAGGGACCCGATCGGCGACGGAAGTAGCTGAAACCACACCGCCCTGCTGCTGCAGTCGAAGCGGCATCACTTCGAGCCGCGCATGAAGGACAAATAGGCCGTCCAGACGAAGGATACGACGTGGCGCACGGGTAGCCGCAGCCAGAGCGGGACCGAGAAACACACGAGGTCCGCGGGGCCCCACACCCGCACGACGTCGTAGGCGTCCTTGGTGAAGTTGTTCGTGTAGTTGCCAATGCCGTCCTTCACCCAATCCTGCGGGTCCCAAGTCTTGCCGAACACAAACCCTTTGAACACGTAAAATGTCGGCAGGTAAACGAAGCTCAACATGCCAACGTCGAGGAACGTTTGTGCTCCCAGGGCCGCCAGGCCAGGGACGTCCTTCAGCTTTGCGAGCCAGGGCTGGCTGGTAAACACCTCGACGCTGGGAAACAGCCTCCTGAATACGTTCACCTGGTACCAATACTGGTAGGCACCGAGGTACGCCGCTCCGAACAAGCAGAAAACAAGGTTCCGTTTCCAGTCGACCTCCGCGAGTGGCTTGCGCTCGATCGCGCACTGTGCAACGAGGTCCGCCGCCGAAGTCTTCAGCGTGGCGATGATGACGTTGTTAGTGAATGGGAACGTCTTTCGAGGAACACAAAATCACATACACATGAAGATTCGAAGGTCCGCGCTGATGTCTTGAATTGGCGTTGGACCCCCTCCCCAGCGCGCGGAACGCGCCAGGGGCAGCGCAGGAGGGGCAGCCAGGGGGCCTCAACGCCGATCCCATACATCCGCGCGGACATCCGAGAGATTATGTGTAGGTCGTTGTTTGTTCCCCGAGCCTTGGCAAAACGCACATACGACCAGCTGGCCTCTTGGGCAGCCCCCGCGTCGGCCGACGCCTGCCGAGCCGCGTGGTGGCCAAAAGGCGCGGGAGGGCACCTGACACCCAGCAACCGCCCCCACTTCGCCCCGCGCCCGCAGCCCGTAGCACAGCGCGCCTTGCTGTAGGTGGCCGCGGCCCTGGCAGCGCCCACGCGGGCGGGCGCGCCACCTCCGAACCGGGAGCCGAACCTCAGCAGCAGCAGCCCCTGCGACCAGGGCGCGAGCCAAACGGTGTCTTCCGCCTTCCTTTGATTTGGTTCCCCCTCGCTCCGTCTTCGCCCCGCTCTTGCCGCAACGCGAAATCAAAACGAAAACCGTACACGAAATCGCCCAAACGCCGTTTAGCTCGCGCCCTGCCTGCGACATCTCCCCGCCGCAGGGTGGGGGGGGGGCGCACTGGGCAGGGCTCCGCGCGCGTGGGTGCCGCTGCAGAGGGGCCTGCGGCCCTGAGAGCCCAAGAAGGGCCTGCGAGGTTGCGCGGGGGCTGGGCCAGTGCGGCAGGCCTGTGCGTTCTGTGACGGGTGCGGCAGCCATAAGGGCGCAGGTACCCAAAGTTTCGCACGGCGGCAGATCACATCGCCGGCGATGAGGACAGACAGGTAGACACACAGATAGGGTGACGGTATTTATACATGTCCACTGCTGCTTGGCCCGGCCCATCCTGAACCTAACAGCGGTGTATACGCCACGCCCTCCTGGCTTGGCCTGGCCAGGAGGGCGTATACAAAGTTCCTGGGCCCAGGAAGGGCCCAGCCAGGGGGCAGTGGATATGTATGGATCTCGTCGCCCGAACATGCACGTTTTTCGTCGCGGCCTCGCGCGCAACGTCGAATCGTAGAAGGTCGGGAAGCGGATGCAAACGCGCGCGGGGTCGTCCAACTCGTACACACACGCACACATACACGGCCGGCGCACAGATACACACACACACACGAATGCACACACTTGTTCCTCTGGCGCGGCGATGAGTTTGCCGTCGGCGGTTCACAAGATGCGCAAGCGGGAGAAGCTCGCCACTTTGTGCGGAACAGAAACCGCATCGACCGCTGCGCAGGCACGAAACTGCGACAGATAGATACACACTCGCACACACATAGGTGTGTATATATATATACATATCAATACAGATCATTTGCAACATGTACGCGTGTATGCGTATCTATGTGTGTGGGCGTTGGCCAATTCCCCCTCGTTGTTTGAAGTTGTTGTTCGTCCCTTCGACAGACGATGACGATCGCATGGTGTGAGGCAAGAGCGCAGGGTGATGAGTCGGCATCCAGCCATCCAGCAAGCGCAGCAGGAGGTGACGTCGACGATGGCCCTGGGGTCTGCTTTTTTCGTGCAGGGGTCCCTGTCTCGATTTTAATGCGCAATCAGCTATGACCGCCCAAGGACTCTTCGGGACTGTGGGGGGGGGTGCAGGTGACAGTGTGTCCCGCGGACAGGGGTCCCTTAGAAGACTACAGCAACCCTGCCAGGCGGGTCAGAAGGCAGATCCCCCTCTTGCGTTCTGTGTGGTGTGAAAAAAGGTTTTGTTGTATGGGTGGCGGGGCGCGTCATTTGCTTGCTGCTGGTATCGGCGCGGTATACCCGCTGTGCTTTTCCTCGGTGTTGCCTCCCCTCTCCTCTCTTTCTCTCTCTCTCTCTCTCTTTCTCTCCGCCGTCCTCCACCCAAACCTCAGCCGAAGCCGAGCCTAAGCATCAGCTTAACCCAGCTCAGGCACCAACGGGAATGTAGCTTGAGCCTGGCCTGAGCCCCAGCCTGAGCCCCAGCGTCAGCCTAGCCTCAGCCTCAGCCTAGCCGAGTATTGCTTCTACGCTGCCACTGCTACAGCAATACATCACCGATCCTACCGCTCTACTGCTAAATCGCTGAAGATCAAGTGTGCTACACTAGCGGGCTGCTTCTGCAACAAAGCTGGAGTTACTAAGGCAAGTCGCAAACTATGATCTGTACAGCAAGACCTGACGACTACAACTACGACAACTACTACGACTACGGCTACTACTACTACTACTACTACTACCACCACCACCACCACCACCACCACTACTACTACTACTACTACTACTACTACTACTACTACTACTACTACTACTACTACTACTACTACTACTACTACTACTACTACTACTACTACTACTACTACTACTACTACCACTACCACTACCACTACCACTACTACTACTACTACTACTACTACTACTACTACTACTACTACTACTACTACTATTACGACCGACTAGTACCAGTACTAGTACTAGTACTACCACAACTACTACTACTACTACTACGACGACGACGACAACAACGACGACGACTACTACTACTACTACAACTACTACTACGACTACGACGACTAGTACCTCCTACTACTTCTTTTATGTCTTCTACTACTACTACTACTGCTACTACTACTACGACGACGACGACGACCACTACTACTACTACGACGACTACTACTACTACTACCACTACTACTACGGCAACTACTACGAATACTACTCCTACTACTACTACTACTACGACGACGACGGCTACTACTACTACTACTGATACTACTACTACTACTACTACTACTACTACTACTACTACTACTACTACTACTACTACTACTACTGCTACTACTACTACTACGACTACTACTACTACTACTACTACTACTACTACTACTACTACTGGTACTACTGTTGCAACTACTACTGCTACTATTATTACTACTACTACTACTACTACTACTACTGCTACTACTGCTACTACTACTACTACTACTACTACTGCTGCTGCTGCTGCTGCTGCTGCTGCTGCTGCTGCTACTGCTGTTACTACTACTACTACTACTACTACTACTACTACTACTACTACTACTACTACTACTACTACTACTACTACTACTACTACTACTGCTGCTACTGCTACTGCTACTGCTACTGCTACTACTACTACTACTACTACTACTACTACTACTGCTACTGCTACTGCTACTACTACTACGACTACTACTACCACTGCTACTACTACTACTACTACTGCTACTACTGCTACTACTGCTACTACTAATAATAATAAAGATAATACTAATAATAATAATAATAATAATGCCACTACAGGTCTACAACAACAGTGTGGCACCACTAATGCAATACTATGACGGTAGTTCTAGAATGCTGCAGTAGTAGAGCACCTCGGGTACAACACTACATTACTAGTACTACCGCAGTCAGTATTAAAGCACTGCTGCTACAATACAAGAAGTATTACAATCACGTGCGACTGCATTACTGGTTAGATCGCACTCTAGCAATTGAGTGCTACTACTTCAATATCCTTCTGCATGTGTGGGCCATGGAAGGGGAGGAGGAGGAAGGATGCGGAGCCCCCCCCCCCCCGTGTCCCCCCACCTCTCCTCCCTTCTTCCTCCTGGGTCTTGGGGCAACGGAGGAGGATTGAGGATGCATGGCTACCCCGTCTCCGTAGTCCTGGGCGTCGTCGTCGTCGTCCCTCCTCCGCCTCCGCCTGTTCGTCATCCTACTGGTCCTCCTCCTCCTCCTCCTCCTCCTCCTCCTCCTCCTCTTCCTTCTCCTCCTCCTCCTCCTGTTCCTCCCCCCTGGGCGGGGGGGGGGCAGCAAAACATCCCCCCCCCCCGACCACCAGCAGTAGAGGGGGTGAGGTACCCCCCACTTGGCCACGAACCAGAAACATCGAGGTTCGCAGAATCAAGGTCGCCGCAACGCTGCCAACTCAGCGAGGTTCGCACCGCGAGGTTCACAGGCACAACAAAAAACATGAGGAGGACTATCAAAAGCAAACCTTCAAAAAACAAGGGGGACTAGGCCAGGACCCAACTATACATATATATATATGTATATGACTATATATGACTATATATACATAAAAAGATCGACCCGTACACATACATAAAAGCATTACACGCACGTATATATACACTTATGTATGATTATATATATATATAGATATATATGCCTATATGTGCATGGAAATATCGATACGCGTTTATATACACATACACATATGCATACAACTACATGCATATATATATATATATCGAGAACGATATACATGTATAGCGGTATGTATAGCTATATCTATGTATATATCGTTACATATATACATATAGCTATACATATATAGGTAGATCGATGGTTCGGCTGTTTGTTCGTCCCGCCAGCCCTCTGGGAGCAGGTGGTGTAATGAGATCTGTCTTCCCTCTCTCAAAAGCTCCTCCTTCCCCTTCGGAAAGGGTCTATCACTGTTCCCTATTAGTAAACACCCCCTCCCCCGCCTGGCTGGCAGCCAACCCGGAACCATGCGGGCCCCCACCCCCACCATCCCTGTCAAAAACCAATACAAGATGCACATTGCGGGGCCCACCCTGCCAACAAAACGGAGTCCACATTGCAGTTAAATCTGGACAGTGCGCTGGCGCCCTGTGAGCACGTTGTATTGTTTTTGACAGGGATGGCGGGGCACCCTTAGTGAAGCCACTTTGTGCAGGACCACCATCCGTGTCAAAAACAATGCAAAGTGCATGTTGCGACAACGTCGTGGGTATTGTGCTGGCCACCCGCGACCACTTTGTTTGTTTTATGGACTGCAGTGGTGCCCGCATGATGATGCTTGCTGTGCGCAGGCCCAGAACAATGCTGACGCCCCCCAGATCAGCATCTGGACCGTGCGGACGCCCGGGCATCAGGTTTTTTCACCAGGATGGCACACCAACCGCATGTGCAGCCCGCGGCGACCGTCGCGCACCTGGCGGCCGCTTTGGCTCCCAGTGGCTGTCCATCCAGTGGCGACCCCTGGCTATGCCGAGACTCGGATGCCACTTTCGAGGTGGGAGGGCGGGTGGGAATGAGCTAGACGGCTTGCGTGCGGAGAGGGTGTCTTGACCCATCCCCGCACCCCTCCCCTGGACCTTGACGGGGGGGGCCGCGAGTCATCAGAGGGTTCTTTTTCGCTCACGATGGCTCCAAGAGGGCTTCTGATGCTCCAAGATGGCCTCCAAGATGGCTCAAGATAGCGCACGGTCGCTCAAGATGACTTGCATCATGCATCCAAGAGGCACCAAGAGGGCCACAAGACGGTTCCACGTGCTCCCGGAGCTCTCTCGGGACTTCCCCGAAAACCATCATTAGTTTGAAACTTAAAGAAAAATCAATGAGTGTTGCCTTCTCGCCTTTTCGCTTCCGATGTCCTTCAGGGACCTCAAGATGGCCCCGCAGATGGCCCAAGAGAACTCCAAGAGAGGCCCAAGACGGCCCCAAGGGCGTCCAAGATCGCCCCAAGAGGGCCCAAAGAGGCGATTGTTAGGGCCCTGGAGGCGGGACGCACATTTAGAACCCCCCACCTTTGATCGATGGCCTCCAACATGGCCCCAGGAAGCGCTCCATAGCTCCCAAGAGGACCCCGAGAGAGCCCCAGGAGGGCCCAAGAGGGACCCCAG